GGTTGAGCGTGCGTTCGAATTTTTTTGAAAATTTGCAACTCTTAATTTGTAAAGTTAAACTCGACAGATCCTCGTTTAAATACTGTACAAGTTTTGGATGGATTCAGAAAATTTGGAAACAGAAAACGAATTTGTTGTCGTGGTGAAACCTAAACTCTTTATTCGCTGTACAATCACAGAAACGAAAGCTGTACCTTCAATGGTGCATGTGAATACAAACAAGTTTACCAAGAAAATTCACATGTAGTTAAATTTTAAACAACATCTACAGTATTCGATCATTATAATTAGCTACGTCTCACTCGTGGTAAAGGCAATAACAATTTTTCATCATAATTACCCATGCATGCATATGAGAGTCGGATAGATCCTCGATTGATGGTAGAAACCTGATTTCAAGTCTCAAAGTTTGAGATAATTTCAATTGATTAGTGTTGTTCTACTACTTTAAACGCCATAATCTTATAATTATATCCTTACCTTATTGGAGTTTCTACCAAATAACGTAGTGACAACGTAAGCAGTAATAACGTATGCAGAGGTGAAACGTTTCAACGTAGTCAGCTTGAGCGACGAACAATCCTTTCACCTTTTCAAAAACATATGAGGTAACTCTGCCCTGGCACCCTGCTGATGATTGGAACGTCGAAATGTTAACCAAATTCTGTTGGGTGCCACGTTCTCACGGCGATGCTAGCCAATCGCCTTTGACAAAAATTATTGATAATCGAAAGTGTGATAAAGAACAGCAGTAGGTAGATATGCGGTTTAAGATTTCATGCCCTTAATTTGTGCCAATCTTTCAAAAGCCTGAATGGAGATCCGAAAATTGCAAATTGCAGGATTCAAGGAGTTACACGTTGCAATTTCTAAAATTTGCAGTGAATATCGTTTTATTAATGCGACTCACTTCACCTGCAACATCAGTATGTTGCTCTACTGACTAATGATTATTGTGTAAAAATAATTCGTATTTGCTTGCATTAGCCTACAGTGTATCGTTCTTTTCAGTAACGAGTGCTATAACAGCATTGAATTGTATAACCGTAACATATGGACCATTAAAAACAAGTAGGTAACCTTAGACTGCAGTCAATTCCATCTTAATTTCGAATCATGAATTGTTCATTTATATGTGAACCACAATATACACCTCTGTTTTGTACTCAACTCGATCGCTGAAATCTGAGTTTATATGGGTGGTCCGCGCATTTTACTCCTAGACTTAGTATTACTTTATTATATTCTAGTTGGGAATGAAAAACAGGATAGCAAAAAAATATTTTGCACTTTTCGAGGTATATAACGAGAAGTATTTTGGGTAATCACTTAATATAAGCTCTGCATGTATTTAAATTCCGCTCATGCCATTTCACAATAATTACCAAATCGTCCATATGTTATTTTAACAAAAAATTGGGTGAAAAACACTTCAGGAATCAGCTACTTTCATTTTCAAATTTGAATGTTAATATCACCTTTGGAGTCTACAGAATGTTGCCAGGTAAATTTGGAGCCGACAGTAACGCAGAGTAACTGAAGATATATGTAGGCATCCAATTTAATTACGATTGACGTTTACGACAATCACCAACCGACTGACGCTTTTAATTATTCATTATAATATTATAACATGCTCTTGTCTTGTAGCATTTTCAACGTGAATTTAAATTTGTATTATTGGTTTAACGATGATGTGAGATAGCAAACTAGCCATTACTAAAAGGCATTAAACAATTAAGATTTATCGGTGTCTAAAGTTTATGTTTGGCTGTTGGCAAATAAATTTCACGCTCATCAATCACAAACGACCTCCCACCCGACTTGCCATATACTCAGCCAGAAAACCTAAATAATGTAAACTGCATGGCTGAAATACGTAGAATGTTCTAGAGTTCTGCTTGATATAATTGAACTTAACGTCCTGAGCACTTTTCAAAAACCACTTACTGTGCCTTGTTCTCACGACGATTATACTATTGCCTTTGCCGAAGATTTATTGAAAATCGAAAGTATTTTTCCAAAAATTTAAAGTGGAAAGATCTTAGTACGCCAATGCTCGTGCAAACCTTTCAGTTTCACGATATTTCTGGCAACCTATGCATGCAGCTTAACACATTTCTCTCCAGCACAATTGTATACGTGTATATATGTATCCTGCATGGATATGCAATTGTAAACTTTTATGAAACGTGAAATTACAGACAAATTAGTTAGGTTCACGAACTGTTTAATTTATACTCACTGTGTCTGTGAAGTGAACGCAGATTTAAAGCCTCTTACTGTCTTACAGACAAGCAAGTTTTCTATGACAAGTTTTTATATGACAAATTTTAATTTGCAATTGCACGTGTGTATTACAACAAAATTTCTATGACAAGTTTTTCTTTGACAAATTTTATGTGCTCGTGTGAACGTGCCAACAAGTTTACTTTGACAATTTAGTTTGCAGCCAGCGATGCAATCGTACAGCGGACAACGTGAGCACGCAAAATACTACAGTCCGCTGGCCTACCGCATACAACTGGTCCCATTATGCATATGTGGCAAGTTTTCTTCATTGACTCATACAGACGATCAAAATTTGTACTTTGACAACTTTTTCTATGACAAGTACACTTGTTCAAAATCAGGTACGTATACTTGATTTTGAACAAGTGTACTTGTCATAGAAAAAATTGTCAAAGTTGGGCGTACAGACGAACAATTAAAACTTATCACATAAAAACTTGTCATAGAAAACTTGCTCGTCTTCGCGTATGCCCATTGCTATTATTAAAGATTTTATTTGCTTCACAACAATTTAGAACTAATTTACAACCAATCATTCACCCATTAATTACATATTTATTTTAATTATTATTGTTTTAGCTAGGTTGATTAGCTCAATACATTGAACTGATCAGTAAAAATAGATGAATCAGGGGTGAAGCCAGCTTTTCAAATAACCAATAGGCTAATCAGAGCTTGAGACGAAATATACCGAACAATAAAAGAAATTGATAGAATGGAATATTAAAAACAAAAAGAGGAAAAAGAGAAATAAAAAAAACTACTTTCTAAAGTATATTGAAGAGTTTTCGTTTGAGCTGAGTAAGTGACAAGCTTTTATCAGAATCGCCGAGTGCATTCTACACCTTGACAGCGATATCTAATGTTAAATTTGCCCAAAATTTGTCCTAGGTTTAGGTTAATATAAACAAAGTCTCGACGCAAGTGTTGTATAATGTAAATTGATGCACAGGTGCGAGGTATACGTTGAAGTTTGAGGGCAGAAGGCAATCATGAAATTTATACAAGAACATTGTCTATAATAATGTAATCAGATCAGGCAACCCCAAAAGTCGAAGGCGCCTAAAACTGATTGGATTCGAATGTTCATCAAACCGAGAAAAAGCTATAATGCGAATGGCTTTTTTTTAAACACAACTAGTGGTTTAAGTGTAGTTATAGGTAAGTATATTACCACAGATTATTAAAGCATAGAGTAAGAATGGGTCAATGGGTATATAATGGCATAATACAACTTTACAAGAATGTCCGTATTTACTAAGTAACGGCAGGGGCGCCGTGGCCGGGGGGCCAGGGGGGGCCATGGCCCCCCCCCCCAGGATTCAAACCTGTCGGAAATTTACGAACATTGCATGTTGTCGGAGTTTATCAATCATAACAGAGACTAAGCTATTTTTGCATTTGTGGCTGTGTTATGCTGAACAACCCAAAAGTATTTGAACTATCAGAAAATAGACGCGGTTATTTCTAATATTATACGGTACGACACTACCCCAAGTTTTTATTATACTGTTGTCGCGCAGGCTAAACTAGCTGTTTCTTCCGAACGTTTCCACTTTCCGATAAACATGCATAGTTTCTATTGATATAACATTACGCAAGGAATGTAATTTTCGAAATGTCGGAGATTGGCGCGATAAAATCGCGATGAATGGTCATGTATCTTTGACCGCATTTATTATTCAGTGAGTTTATACAGTTTATTGCATTGATATGGTGACCGTCTAAAGAAACACCAGCATGTCCCGTATCAGAATGCTGGAGCTACAGCAAATCCTTTTCAAATTTATAGTACTTTTAGTCAAACGGTTCCTGAAGTTTATAAAAGATAAGGTACCACGATAGTACAGCGGAAGAAGTAAACTGATGAGAGGATGGAAGCATTTGCAAATATGTTTATATTTTGGTTATAAACAAATGTTGCGTATAGAATACGCTGTATGCTCATCCACTAAGATTACAAAGCTATAATAGAGTATCGTGAAATAACGTATCGCGTTATTTGTTAATGCATGTGGATTAGAAATCTCTGTAATACAGTTTTCCCACAAACAGTTAACTGTATCAAAAATTATTCAACTACTCAATTGAAAAGCGTATGTAAAACGTGAATATTTATCGGTCATATTCATTGTGCATGAAGGGTCAATTTAAATTAGTAGACGTAGCTCGTGATCTTCAGTCATAAGCAAATGCATGCGCGTCCTTGCCCAAAACCCCCTGTCAGTTTTGTCAATATTCGTTACTTTTTTATTATAAAGATGTCGGAAAAAAAACGTGCTTGTCGGAATAATGTTGCCCTACATTAGCACACCCACGGCGCTCCTGAGTAACGGACTTATTTGCAATGCAATATAGTCAACCTGATATTTCCAAGATAAGTGGGAATGAATAAAAACCCCAAGATAATTACAGCATTTGAATATCATTTTAAGAAAAGAGCAACCCATTAAAACGATTAGTGCATCAATAACGCTATAGGAAAACCACTAAAGCTATTCGAACATCAATTGTGCTCACAAGTGAGTTCAAAAACAACACCTCATTATATATTCCGTAAAGTGAAAATCAATGAGACGAAACACAGAACAATTGCATCAACTTATTAATCATTAACATTTTTACAACAACAATAACAATAAATCAAAATACATTAAACTGCAAGAAAAAGTCATTAGTATTAAGGCATAAAATGTGGTCCCGTTGGACTCTTCAGTGTGCTGATATGTACTGTATAATTATTCACCTTGAAACATATAAAAGGACATTTGAAACACCGTTAATTAAACTCGAACCGAAGAAGACAGGAACAACACAGTGCAATGGCAGAACGGGTGAGAAATCGAATTCGTCAGAAGGACAGAGAAAGATTGGTACGTGCTTTCGAAGCACCTGATCAGGACTATGTTGTAATAGCAAATAATTTGGGCATAAACCGGTCAACAGCAGCAAGAGGAATAATTACCCGATATTTGTGAGAAAATAGAGTCGATGAAAGACCACGCGGAGGTCGCAACCACGGCAAAGTCGATGACGAAATGAGGAGGTGTCTGGAAGCGATTATCAACGAAAACTGCACTCTAACATTGACAGCCATCAATTCCACCCGTGTCACATATTCTCAGCGGCTGTAACCCAAGATTTCTCAATTGAGAAGTGCAGGTCTAACCCAGGCCAAATGATCATCTAAATCATTCAATATAATATTAAGCGACCAATCAGAATACTTGATATAAAACAGTTTAATCTTTGATTTGGTTGTATTTTATTAGTATTCAAGAAAATTTCGCACTTCACTTCGGCGCAATTTTTTACAATTATGCGAAAGGCGTGCGTAAAAACTGTTGTGTTGGGAAGAAATGGAAAATCGTCAATAACTACACCGTTAACTGTTGATGTAGAAACAACAGCTTCAAATAAGCATTCGACAAGCCTCCACGCAGATTTGCATAGTGACGAATCGTGCGATTTGCAAATCGATCATAACGCTCAAACGCCTCATGAATTACCAGTCGTTGACGATTTAGAAAATGAAGAATCGGCCACACAAAGAAGAAATGTTAGTAATTATCTCAACTGGGAAAAAATTCGGCCTCAATTGCTGAAAGCAAAGTTCGAAGATGCGATTTTACCGAGTGGTGTCATGTGTGGTGTTTGCTCTCAAAATGAAGCCAATATTCGCTGTAAATATTGTGGTCCACGGCAGTTTTTTTGCGAGAACTGTGCTATTGAACAACACGAAAGTCGAAATAAGTTTCACGTGATGGATAAATGGATGGTATTGTCTATTATTAATGTTGATTAAAAAAACTTTAAAAATATGATAATATTTGCTAGCTTTTAAAAGCTCTCCTCCGTGGCTTAATTTCTATAAGGAGAAGCCAATTTAATGGCATAAACGTACGTCAAAGATGTCGTTTCATTCTATAATTTCTTATTCTATTTAATAACTATTTGCAACCTACATGTTACATATTTTCAAGATTTTAAAGATGTTGGTCTTTTGCAATACTGTAATATGCTATTTTCACACATTCAGTAAGACTTAAAAAGTTAAAATTCAAATGTGTTCAGGCAAATTAAACCTGCTTTAACCTACAAAACCTACATTCTTTATTTCTTAGGAAACTAAGTTCATCCCACTGTTTCCAGACAATTCTGTAATTGAGTGGGCCCACAATTGTGGGACACAAATTGTCAAGTTGTTTACACTTATTGATGCATTTGGTAAGGAATTTGTTCAGTATTCTTTGTTTGCATTAAAGCTACTAAATCTACAAGGTCAAACTTTCCAACAACTTAAGTATCAAGTTGCATAGGAATTAAAGCTTACCTAATTAAGCAGAGGTTTTATTTCTCCAAACTTTTAAACAGATTAGCCATCCATAAATACACAAACAAAAGCTGCATGCTAAAATTTCAACAAAAGTTAGACTATGATTAAGCTTTTATAACCAGAAACCCCATGCCATGATCATTAATTAACCCTCAGATATAATGCAGTTGCATGGATTAACTAAACAAGTGTGTAATTTCATTTTTTCTGCTGTAGAACAATATTGTTTAACAACCTTGTCTATTGTATGTTGGAACAATAGATATTATTTGGACTGTGAGAATTAACTGCAATAATTTTAATTTAATTATTGATTGCTATTGAATATTGCTACTACTTTCTATGATTGTTAGGTAATCAACACTTGAAGCGAGTGGCTTTTTGCAGTTGTGAAAGCCATGCTGTGACACTACTCCGGTTGCATTTCTGGCCTGGCTCTCCAGAAAGGCCTACTATTGGCTTTCATTTTAGAATTATGGATTTAGCTGAAAAGTTGTTTCTACATAATCAGGTTCCTTTGAAGGATTTTTCTGAGATAATCATGGAATTACTTCCATCACTGCAACCTGTTCATGTAAGTATTCAAAACCCTAAAATATAATATACAGAATTACTTTTCAATCATTCAGTTGCATGTATTCCACCCTTATTTTTCTAATTAGTTTAGAGCCAAAATATCAATTTTGGAAGGAAAAAAATTTAGACTGAAAAACTATTTTCTACATTTCAGGTTAAATCCTTTTACCGCACTTTAAATTCTGGATCTTTTGAGGAATACAGGTATGTACACTTTATTAAGTCATGCCTATTGATATATACCCTCTCTTTTACTGGCACACCCCAGTTATATTATACTTTATATTATACATTTTGCAATTAGTATGATTAGTACAATTATTATAATAGTATAAAAGATATAGGTACCGGTATTTTTTTTTCTTTTCAAGATATTTTAAATACAAATTAAAATATCTGGATTCCTATATCCCAGGGCTATATAACGGTGTCATTTGTCCTATATGCCCAACGGTAAGAAATAATTCTTTGTTACAGTATTTATATTTTTTATTTATTTAATCAAGGTTTGCCATTATTTTGCCATGAAGGGCTTTACAACAGCTTATCTCCAAATATGTTATAGTAACTGTCATGCATGTAGTAGTTATAGGTTAAGAGAAGAAACTCTTAAAAATAGATGAGAACCAGCTTATCTCAACTTACATTAATTAGTAAAAACACTGATATAATTTACTTGTAATTTACATTAATTAGTGTTTCATTTAGAGATTTAGATACCTAGGTTGCATTGCATGGGATACCAATAGTAATGCACTGTATATATGTTCACCCAGTGTGGTACTCTTTCATTTCATCAATGAATATATGTTTAAGGTCAATTCTATGTATATACCTATAGGAAAGTGGAACCTTAATTGAATGTGTTGATGCATGTTTTGGTCTGCCAAGAAGGAAAGGGAAAGGTGATATAAGCATTTCTTCACGCCACAAGACATTGTTGTTCAGCGATCAAGATGATGTTGATAACTTTGTTGATAATTATGAACACACAAAAGAGAAATCACAAACACAGGTAATTGTTTAAAAAGACGTTTGATTTGTTGCAAGCAATTTGTTAATGTGATTTGCAAAAAACTGTTTTAATATTATTTGTTTTTAAGGACTGTCACAGATTTCATGCTGGTGAAGTAATTTCAGCAATTAGAAGTAAAGGCAAAAATAAACTTTTTGATGAAAAAGGAGTGTTTGGCAGGGTTTGTCGGCATGACTTTCCAAAAAGCTTACTCAGCATCAAACATGGTGAAAGGTACATTCTTTTATCACTTACTATTTCACTGGTTAGCTATATTGTGAATACCCTGTTTTTATCATGCTAGACCAAATTCCATAAATAGTTTTAGAATTCTTATTAATCACATTTGATCACTATTTATATTCAGTTGTGTCAAGAATAGTAATTAGCATTAACATCTATAAGGTTTTTTTTACAGTAATCATCAACCACTTTCTATGTACCAACTATTTAAATGCACAAAAACATTTTGTGCGAATTCACCTTGTAAGTAAATTTCGCATCATTTTAGAATTTCCTATGCTGTATATGAGCTAGAAAAACTAAAGGCTGGCATTTCTGCAGAATCACTCAATTATGTTCTGATGTACGACATTGCCTGTGTTTTATCAAACCACCTGCAGGTTCTGTGTATAATTGCATTTTATTATTTTTATTTGGTATTTTCAAAAATCAGCATGATTCAAGAATTAATGATAATAATGTTCTAAATACAAGCATGCAATTTTTTTATGAAGGGCTCCGGCCAGCAGTCTTTGCTGTCGAATACAACTCTTGCAATACCAATATTTCATTGTTATGGGCATAAAGCCTCTTGCCAGGTAATTGTTTAAAAGAATTACATTTATGCGAAATGGACTGCATCTTTAGGACTTTAGAACAATTCCTTTAAGGCAGATTTCAAAGTTGTATGGCAACCGACCGTTCAAGTCCACATTCAATTTAGGTCAAATATAGTCCACGAAGAAAGGCGAATGTTGGTTTAACCGATGGAGAAGGCGTTGAGCGTTTTTGGTCATTTCTTAGACAGTTTTCCTCAATAACCAAAGAAATGTCTGTTGATAAAAGAAGTGATGTGCTAACTGACGCTACTATCCATTATGGTGAACATCTTGTTGCAAAATTTGGTAATATAATAGAAATTCAGTAAATCATTACCACTATTCGCTGTTCTTAGTGTGGATTCTCTAGGGTGCGGCCCAAGTTTATCTTTTTTTCATTACAGTCACACAACACAAAGAACCTCAAATTTTTTATTGCTAGTATGATCTTTTTTAAATTATAGGTCCTTCTCTAAAGTCGAAGCTCGTTAGGGCGCAGTCTTTGCTGATCACTGTTGACCAAGAATTGAGCAATTTAATCGCGAATTTGCCAGGTACGTTTTTCACAAGCGACTCGAATTCAAGTGCTTAAAATAATGACATTTTCTAGCAAACGCCTACCGGTACATATGACATGGTTACGTTCGTGTTTCTTATTATGATAGATGAGTGTAATGAGGCTAAAATTCGGAGCTGGATCAAGGAACAATTTGAAGAAATTGCACCAGTTATGGAAGGTAAATAGGTAAAACGTGCGGTGATATGCTGATGGATTTAACTAAGTGTACTTCCCACTTTTATAGTATACCTTTTTTAAATGGGATGTGTGGTTTTTTGTATATGAGTGAAAAGCGGACTAGTTTTCCTTTTGAAGCTCTGAAAAATTATTGCTAATAACCAGAATTCCGTTTCGATAGAGATACAAGCTGTTTGGGGAAATTGAGATCTGTGTTTTTTATACAAATATCAACAATAGCCTACTAAAATAAAGTCTAATATTTTATCGCCTAGACCTTGAATACCAGTGGGATGAATCTTATGTGGATTTACTTCTTTCAGCAAAAAAGTTGCGGTAACAAAATATTTTATGCAGAGAATAACAATTTCGGAATATGGCACTGCATATAACTTAGTTCACACTTATAAATGCTTATTCTGGTATGACTGCTTATTCCTATGGCATTGCTAGACATTTCACTTGTGACAGGATCTTCGCGGTGTGCAAATGTATTTTGTTCTTGATATTTGGATTTTGTACTTTTTTCAGAAACGAAATGAGTTTTTCAAGAGAGGAAGAGCCGGAAAGGATTCCCAACATTGAGAGAAGGATAAGTAGGTGGGACATGCGGCTATACAGTGATAATTAAACAGACTGCTGTCTGTTCAATTATTAGTTGTTATTACATCTGCTGTTGTTATTGCAGGTATTCGTATTGCAGCTGTACTCTTCCGTCTGGCTATTGTTATTAGTTGATTCCTAGTTGGTTTTTTAGGAATGAAAAAGCGTTATATTCCCTGGAGAAACGTCATGGTGTTCGAACAAGATGGAAGAAAAAAGAAAAAGCATATCAAAATGCGTATACAAGACTTATTGCCAAGAAACAGCAAAAGTTACTTCATACCCTTCATAGGATGGCGTCGGAGAGAATGTTTTTATTAGAACTTAAAGCAAAATATGCTGGTATAGAAATATTTCTTTTATGCTCTTTTACTTATCACACTACAAATAATGTATGTCCGAATACGCCTTTTCTTCCGTGAAGGTACTTCTTCATTGGTGTTTATCTTTTACATGTATCTCCACTTGGATTTCCCTTGTTTTACTTAGTTGCCTCCGATTCTACTCCTTTTTTCAGATGGTCAAGCTATTGCAATAAAGCTTGGCAGTCAAATCGATCGCGTGGTCGCCAACATCACTCGGAACGTAAGCTTGATTAATGGGATGAATGAGAACGATGAGATTTCCTTTGATGATGTAAAGGATCCAAACGGGGAAGTATATCATGGTATTGTCGAACCCAATATTGAAACAGGAGTACCATCAAGAGTAAAAAATAGAGCGGTTGATCTTTTGTGTCTTAAAGATAGGTGTGAAGAGGAACAAAATATGGTGAAAAAAGAGATGTCTACATTTATTTCATTTCTCACCAAACAGATTGAAATAATTCAATCATTTATCGATCGTGAAGTTTCCAGCGACGACGAACTTGGTTTGCACTCCCTCGCCATTGAAAAGATGATGTTTTATCAGCGCCAAGTAAACGTAGTGAATGAGTTATGGTCCGGATTTAAAGTTTTACCTTTCACTACAGAGGACAGTGAGATGGTGGAGCCCATATCAGCCTTATATAAAGAAGATCTAGAATTTTATGATGATGTCGAATATATGTAAATACATACTATACTTGGAGGGTGAGCTTACTAAACATGTTGTGAAGATGTAACATTCTTATACAATGTGGGTAAAACTGACCCCTGTCTTTAGAATTAAAAAACGTAAATAAAGTCGTTATCAAATTTCATTTGGAGGGTGAGCTTACTACATGTTGTGAAGATGTAACATTCTTATACAATGTGGGTAAAACTGACCCCTGTCTTTAAATTAAAAAACGTAAATAAAGTCGGTTGTCAAATTTCATTTGGAGGGTGAGCTTACTAAACATGTTGTGAAGATGTAACATTCTTATACAATGTGGGTAAAACTGACCCCTGTCTTTAGAATTAAAAACATAAATAAAGTCGGTGTCAAATTTCATTTGGAGGGTGAGCTTACTAAACATGTTGTGAAGATGTAACATTCTTATACAATGTGGGTAAAACTGACCCCTGTCTTTAGAATTAAAAAACATAAATAAAGTCGGTGTCAAATTTCATTTGGAGGGTGAGCTTACTAAACATGTTGTGAAGATGTAACATTCTTATACAATGTGGGTAAAACTGACCCCTGTCTTAAAGTTAAAAAACGTAAATAAAGTCGGTATCAAATTTCATTTGGAGGGTGAGCTTACTAAACATGTTGTGAAGATGTAACATTCTTATACAATGTGGGTAAAACTGACCCCTTCTTAAAAGTTAAAAAACGTAAATAAAGTCGGTGTCAAATTTCATTTGGAGGGTGAGCTTACTAAACATGTTGTGAAGATGTAACATTCTTATACAATGTGGGTAAAACTGACCCCTGTCTTAAAAGTTAAAAACGTAAATAAAGTCGTCGGTATCAAATTTCATTTGTGGAGGGTGAGCTTACTTAAACATGTTGTGAAGATGTAACATTCTTATACAATGTGGGTAAAATGACTTCTAACTTTCATTTAAAAACGTAAATAAAGTCGGTATCAAATTTCATTTGGAGGGTGAGCTTACTAGATGTTGTGAAGATGTAACATTCTTATACAATGTGGGTAAAACTGACCCCTATCTTAAATTAAAAAACGTAAATAAAGTCGGTATCAAATTTCATTTGGAGGGTGAGCTTACTAAACATGTTGTGAAGATGTAACATTCTTATACAATGTGGGTAAAACTGACCCCTGTCTTAGAATTAAAAAACATAAATAAAGTCGGTGTCAAATTTCATTTGGAGGGTGAGCTTACTAAACATGTTGTGAAGATGTAACATTCTTATACAATGTGGGTAAAACCGACCCCTATCTTAAAAGTTAAAAAACGTAAATAAAGTCGGTATCAAATTTCATTTGGAGGGTGAGCTTACTAAAGATGTTGTGAAGATGTAACATTCTTATACAATGTGGGTAAAACTGACCCCTATCTTAAAAGTTAAAAAACGTAAATAAAGTCGGTATCAAATTTCATTTGGAGGGTGAGCTTACTAAACATCTTGTGAAGATGTAACATTCTTATACAATGTGGGTAAAACTGACCCCTGTCTTTAGAATTAAAAAACATAAATAAAGTCGGTGTCAAATTTCATTTGGAGGGTGAGCTTACTAAACATGTTGTGAAGATGTAACATTCTTATACAATGTGGGTAAAACCGACCCCTATCTTAAAAGTTAAAAAACGTAAATAAAGTCGGTATCAAATTTCATTTGGAGGGTGAGCTTACTAAAGATGTTGTGAAGATGTAACATTCTTATACAATGTGGGTAAAACTGACCCCTATCTTAAAAGTTAAAAACGTAAATAAAGTCGGTCAAATTTCATTTGGAGGGTGAGCTTACTAAACATGTTGTGAAGATGTAACATTCTTATACAATGTGGGTAAAACTGACCCCTGTCTTTAGAATTAAAAAACGTAAATAAAGTCGTTATCAAATTTCATTTGGAGGGTGAGCTTACTAGGGATGTTGTGAAGATGTAACATTCTTATACAATGTGGGTAAAACTGACCCCTGTCTTTAGAATTAAAAAACATAAATAAAGTCGGTGTCAAATTTCATTTGGAGGGTGAGCTTACTAAACATGTTGTGAAGATGTAACATTCTTATACAATGTGGGTAAAACTGACCCCTGTCTTAAATTAAAAAACGTAAATAAAGTCGGTGTCAAATTTCATTTGGAGGGTGAGCTTACTAATGTTGTGAAGATGTAACATTCTTATACAATGTGGGTAAAACTGACCCCTGTCTTTAGAATTAAAAAACGTAAATAAAGTCGGTATCAAATTTCATTTGGAGGGTGAGCTTACTAAACATGTTGTGAAGATGTAACATTCTTATACAATGTGGGTAAAACTGACCCCTGTCTTTAGAATTAAAAAACATAAATAAAGTCGGTGTCAAATTTCATTTGGAGGGTGAGCTTACTAAACATGTTGTGAAGATGTAACATTCTTATACAATGTGGGTAAAACTGACCCCTATCTTAAATTAAAAAACGTAAATAAAGTCGTATCAAATTTCATTTGGAGGGTGAGCTTACTAAAGATGTTGTGAAGATGTAACATTCTTATACAATGTGGGTAAAACTGACCCCTATCTTAAATTAAAAAACGTAAATAAAGTCGGTATCAAATTTCATTTGGAGGGTGAGCTTACTAAACATGTTGTGAAGATGTAACATTCTTATACAATGTGGGTAAAACTGACCCCTGTCTTTAGAATTAAAAAACGTAAATAAAGTCGGTCAAATTTCATTTGGAGGGTGAGCTTACTAGGGATGTTGTGAAGATGTAACATTCTTATACAATGTGGGTAAAACTGACCCCTGTCTTTAGAATTAAAAAACATAAATAAAGTCGGTGTCAAATTTCATTTGGAGGGTGAGCTTACTAAACATGTTGTGAAGATGTAACATTCTTATACAATGTGGGTAAACTGACCCCTGTCTTTAGAATTAAAAAACATAAATAAAGTCGGTGTCAAATTTCATTTGGAGGGTGAGCTTACTAAACATGTTGTGAAGATGTAACATCTTATACAATGTGGGTAAAACTGACCCCTGTCTTAAAAGTTAAAAAACGTAAATAAAGTCGGTGTCAAATTTCATTTGAAGAATCGTAATTAAAATGTTACGAAGTGAAATTTAAGACAGTAATATGAAATATTTGGGAAATAAGAAACCTTTTTTTAAACCTGATATGCGCGTATAGTATTACTTGCTCTTGTGTTGCGAAAACAAAGCCAAAAGGCAAAGATTCCCGAGGTGTATTTCGTTATTTGTCATTTATAGCCATTCTATAGCCATTCTATAGTCATTTTGGCCATTCTAGAGCGTCTGTTCTATAGATCACTCAGTTATTCAGGGATAGTTGTTATCAGTTCGAGACATTAATTTCAAGGTAAACGAGACTGTAATTTCTAATAAGCATATAGTTCTACATTTTATATCAATATTCACACTCCGTATTACTTATTACGCGAATTTGTTTGTTTGTAGAGCCCTATGATGGGAAGAAATAAGTTCAGAAGAAATATGACATGTTTTCCCTCGAAGGTCAGATCAGATTTGCCAATGAGAATTGCAATTTTGGTATTCATATTGGTACAAATTTTCACGACGTGGTAGTTGCCATAGCTTGTTCCTTTTTTTTCTTTGCGCAAGGAGTGACCACATGCTGCAGCTATGACGCTATAACTTATATGGGGCGATTGCTATTTCATTATTACATATACAAACAAAAATGGCTCGTTTCCCTAGAATTGCGCTACGAAAATATAATTAAATCGTGAATGAAATCTTTGAAGCACAGCATGATACTATAGTTAAAGAATAACTACCTACTTAGTACAGTTGGTGATACATTGATGAAAGAAGGGGCGTGTATGAAGATGTATTGAGACTAGTGTATATCACAGTATATACAGGGCTAATTTTAACAAATTTTAACTTTAAATAGTAAAGGTCTTTGAATGAAGGCCCTTTCCTTCCTACCTACTGAAAGTATGAAATATTTCTACGCTCTTACCACTCTTGATATCTTCATATTTTTAACCTAAATAATTCCGAATAATTTTATAGAGAAAAGACGGTGTCTGTCGAATTTCAACCTGCCCCCAGTATGGAAATTACATGAAACGCTTGGATAATCATCTGTCAGTATTCCATAAGGGTACAACTAGGGCAATGAACGACAGCCTACCTCACCCGGGCGCTTACAAAAGTGCTTATTTGGAAAATCTTCGACAAGGAAAAACAAATTATGTCATTGCTAATCTTGGAAAAAGTAAAGACCTCAGTGACGGAAAAATTTCAGCCAGAAAATCAAGTGTTCCCAGCACATCAAGTGTCGCCAGCACATCAAGTTCCTCTACACATAAAAAATGTATTGTAAAAAGGCGTTTGTTTTCCAAACAAAGTACGTCTACAAAGCAAAAGTTTGTTAAAAGAGGCAATTTTGAATTAAAATTCAGAAGTAAAATTGCAACAGCATCTGAGGACCAAATGAATCAGAATTCTTCCGACCAATTGGTTTCGCTTGAATCATCGAATAATTTCATTGGGGAATGGTGTGCTCATACTCTAAGATTTTTGATCCACAATACTTACTCGTTCAAACTTGGATCTTTACTATCTTTTATAAGAGAAAATCAATCATTGGAAGACTATCACAAAACCAAACTATGCAAAGATGTGTTTGGCGAAGTGCCATTAGATTTTCTAAAGGCCCTAAATTACCACAGAAGGCCGTTAAACAGCTACTTTCAGCGATTAAGATGTCTTCCAAACATAAGTCAGAAGACTGTGGATCTATGCATGGCTTGTGAGACAACAGGTGGCAAATGTGTGTGTCCAGAACTAGACACAGCCTTTTTTATTTTCTGCAGAAAACCCTGTTTAAAGGAAAGGTTTGACTGCAAGAAATGCAGTAACTGGGCGATTCATACACACGTGTGCTTTGATTTTTTCTCATGCACCGTGTGTGACAAATATTACTCTAGCACAAAACCGAACTGTGGAAAATATTATGTTTAAATATATCGATATAAATTTGTAACCTGAAACCTTCCGA